ACCTTTGTGTGATCTCAATAGCCATGCAGTGAGCAGTGTGCTATGGCATGGATATTCAAGTGTACTTGAATGGCATCTGTTTGTTTTAGTCAAGATTATGTTAAAATATACTTTCTCCAACTATATTTAAGTTCCCTATCAAGAGTCAATCTTCAATTTTGAAGATTACCAGTTTATTCCCGTTAATTCCCGGAATGTTGCAACCCTACTTGAGAGTCTGTGTTGTTGACAGCTTCTAGAAGTACAGGAAGTCGGACATGGCGGCCGGCAGATGTGTCATCAGCTGGACTCTGATCCACCAGTGCGGCTCCATCGGATGGTACCGAGTGTACGGGCGTTTGGACATAATGGCGTCAGTGATGTCCTCCAGAACCGGAGATATGTCCTTCTGACCGCTGTTGCTGTTCGAGCGCACGCTAGCCATGAGCATCTCAAATCGAGCTTTCCCATAATCCTCCTGCACGTGCGCCGGCGCCTCGCTCCACATCTTGTGGGCCGTGTTGGCCATGCTCTCTCGGCTCATGATGCCCGTGGCCGCCATGAAGTTCCCCGGCTCCACGATGGACACTTTCACCCCCCAGGTCTTCATCTCGTAGCGAAGGCAATCGGAAAAGGCCTCCACGCCGTATTTGGAAATGCAGTACGGAGAACTCAAGTAGACCCCCATCCTCCCCATCATGCTGGAGATGTTCACAACTCGACCTGAAGAGAAACAGACAGTCAGGATTTGAAAAAAGCAAAACATTACAAACATCAGGGGAAAGTGTAAATATGTGGGGAACAAACAATCTTGTTTTTAAAGTGATCCCACAGCGAGCAAAAGTACTACATGATAAGTATTTACTATGTATGTGTTTTAAGTAGTTACCACTTATAGTATACTGTATGTGCTCTATCAAAATCACTCACCATTCTGAGTTCTATACACTGTGGGAAAATAAGTATTTAACATAACGTGATCACTGTTGAGACACAATTAAGAGAAAAAGGAGATACAGAAACACTCAGGATTTCTTTCTGAATGATGAAACAACTGAACGCAGCACCACCAGTGATAAGATTATGTAAAATAGTGTATCTTCAAACCTCGTAGCTTGTTAAGCATTCAGTTCAAAAGTCCTGGGACTATGCTCTACTTTAATACATCACTGTTTCCTTACTAATTAAAGTCTTACACATTCAAAACACAGAAAAGTAGCATTCATTGGTTTCTACATTATATTGTCTCATTCACTGTTTTATCCAGTTATTGTTCTTTATGTATTTCTATTACTGTCTTTTGTGTTAGAATAGAATCCTTTATTGTCCTTATGCAGGTACAATGAGATGAGTAGAGAGAGACGTACAACATTCAGGAGAAGACAACATACAAACAACAAGCATTCATACTTAATTGAAGCACTTTGTTATTAAGTCAACACATTGTAGGTGATAGGCTAAGGGGCGGGACTTCTCTAAGCAGAACATATTTAATATTTTGTTTTCCATCTCAGGGTTAGATCACGGGACACAACTTACGCACCGTTTTCTTTCCAAGGGGGATTCTAAGAATGCTTATAATGCTCCATAGAGAAAATGGTTTGGTTGGCAGCAAAACAAACATTTTGGACAGTATTAAAACTCGTGTTAATGTGCCATACACTCTGATGTTATTTCCCCTGACCTTTGGCCTTGCGGATCAGCGGCAGAACAGCCTTGGTGACCCTGATGGAGCCCCACAGGTTGACCTCCGACACCTTCCTGTAGGTGTCCATGGAGGTGAACTCGACTTCTCCAAATGTTGACACACCAGCGTTGTTGACCACAGCCCACAGACCTGGATCAGGAGACAGGGCGTTAAAGAGGATTTAAAGATCACCTATTATGCAAAATCCACTTCTCCATGTCTCTTCTACATCAACATGTGTCCCCTCTTCTCCATGTCTCTTCTACATCAACATGTGTCCCCTCTTCTTCATGTCTCTTCTACATCAACATGTGTCCCCTCTTCTCCATGTCTCTTCTACATCAACATGTGTCCCCTCTTCTTCATGTCTCTTCTACATCAACATGTGTCCCCTCTTCTCCATTTTTCTTCTTCATCAACATGTGTCCCCTCTTCTCCATTTTTCTTCTTCATCAACATGTGTCCCCTCTTCTTCATGTCTCTTCTACATCAACATGTGTCCCCTCTTCTTCATGTCTCTTCTACATCAACATGTGTCCCCTCTTCTTCATGTCTCTTCTACATCAACATGTGTCCCCTCTTCTTCATGTCTCTTCTACATCAACATGT